TAGTTTCTTTTTTTTTTTTTTTTCAATTTAGTTCAGATTATTGGTCACTTATACATTCGTGAGGGATCCTCGACAATGCGTTTGCATCGGAGTTTTTAGCCCCTGGTTTATGCAATACAGTGACTTGGACTCGAGATAAAGCTAATGCCCATGTCTGTAATCTAGCATTACGGCGTATCCCTTCGGTTAAGTACTTTAGCGGGTTATGGTCTGTATGCAACAAAATCTTATTTCCGTATGTCCAAGTTTCGAACTTGTCGAGAGCCCAAATAATTACATACGCTTCTCTTTCTATAGTGCTCCATTTAGACTGAGCGCTAGTTAATTTCTGGCTAGCAAATGTTATCGGTCTAGCTTTCCCATACTCATCTCGTTGAAGTAAACACGCTCCCATACCTATTAGTGAGGCGTGTGTGTTAATTTCAAAAGGTTTCCGTATATCCGGCGTATATACATAAATACCGTACATATATACCGTATTTAAGATAAGTACATATATACCGTATTTAACATAAATACCGTACATATATACAGTAATTATTATATTATAAAGACGATGCCGTGCACAATACATCCTTTAATTCTTTGAATGCCTTCTCGGCTTCCGACCCCCAAGATATGTCATTAGGTATAGATTTTTTCGTGAGATCAGTTAACGGCCTAGCTATTTTTGCGTAATTCGGAACATACTCTCGACAGTAATTATATAACCCCAAAACTGACCTTAATGCCTTTTTGGTTCTAGGTGGCTTCAAATTTTTAATGACCTGCAATTTCTCTAGATCTGGGCCATGTCTGCCTGAGCCTACTATGTGACCTAAATACTTTACCTCCGACTTTCCAAAAGAGCATTTCTCTAAATTAGCCGTAAAGTTCAATGTCTGTAAAGTACTGAGTACGACTCTTAAATGTTTAAGATGTTCTTCCCACGTTGACGAATAGACAATTATATCATCGATGAAACCTTCAGCATAATCACTATGTGGTCTAAGAGCTTGATTCATAACTCTTTGGAAAGTTGCGGCAGCACCTGAAACCGAACGGCATCACTTTCCACTGATACTGACCCTTCGAAACAAAACTCGCCAGATGTCTACTTTTCCTTCTCCATAGGGATTTCTCAATACCCCTTCAGAATATCTAGCTTAGACAAATAACTTGCTGCCCCTGCCTTATACCGAAGCTCTTCTGCGTTTTGCACAGGAAATGGGATTATCTGACGTTCCGCATTAAGCCCTCGATAATCACAACATAAACGTACGCTTCCGTCTCGTTTCGCTACACACACAATAGGGTAAGCGATCTCTGCTGTGGAAGGTTCAATTAAACCTCTTTCTGGCAAATCAGCAATTTGTTTTTCCACCTGTGGTTTCAGCGCCTCCAGGTTACCTTATAAACATGGGGTTGCTTTCTTTGAACTCCCGCTTTTAACCTGATACTACCTTAGCACATTTAATCTCCCCGTCAAACACTCCATGGAAAGATTTGATCAATTTGCTCAACTGATCCCTTTATGACCTATCTAATTGTTTCCATTCATCTGAAACACCGATCCTATGTAAAAGTTTTTCTACTTCCGGGTTTCTTTGAATAGGCGCATTCTGCACTTCTCCAATTCTATGTCAGCCCGATAGATTATCCCGACTGCATTTATGGGTTGTATGTATTTCCGCAAGTTATTTTGATGCAAATGTCTAACAGATTCATCCGGCATTTTTACCAAATATGAATGTGGAGACTTTTTCTCAACTATTTCTCCAGGTCCTGTTCATTTCCAGCAAAGTTTATTTGTTGACGTTGGTATCAGTACTACTACCTCATCTTTTATCTCGAATTCCCTTTCCTTAGACCTCAAATTATGATGATGAACATATTTCTGCTGTTTGGCTTCCGAATTTTCTTTAGCGAATTTCTCTGCCTCCTGTAACCTATTTCTGTAACCTACTATGACTTTGAAAACTTATATACCTCACTTCCTCTAGGAGAAATCTATACTAGTCTACTAGATCTGCCTAAACTCTTCCCTGATGCTCACGATTATGAATCTTAACAAATGGAAAACGTACCTAAACTGCACACTTTTTCATAACTAAATCAAATTTCAAAATCAACTTTTAAATAAGTCAGAGGTCTACCAATGGGCTCCCATTCCAGTACCTCGCTTTGTAATATCTTTTTATTTATCAAAGAATTTAACTTCCAAAAAAATCTACAACCACAAGAATTAAATTACTACACACTTACAGATATATTGATGACCTTATTACAATTAATAATTTTAATAAAATTGAACACTCCGAGATTTATTCAAATTGTCTTACACTTAATAAAACTAATAATTCACAAAATAGCATCATAGACTATCGACTATCTAGATCTTCAAATCATTAACTACAAAAAATTTTAGCTTTTTGACAAAACAAGAAGCTTCAATTTCAATACTAACAAATTAATAAATTGGAATTCCAACATATCCAAAATAGTAATTAACAATACAATAATTAATCAAATACAACGAATTAAAATTATATGCACAGATAGATACGATTAGATCTAACGCGAAAGTTTTGCTCCTTATTAAAATTCTCAAAAATAATCTAATACCCATTCAATTTATTAACCATTGCCTTAAAAGAGCAGGCGTTAAATACTCACTCTAAATCATTTAACTGATAGGGATATGATAATTTGTTTCTAAACCTGAGAAGGCGGTATAAGTTGGATGCTTATCAGTTGAAGGATTTGTACATAGTGTAATTACTAAGCTGTATATAATGTAAAAAGCTAATTGTCTTCAGACTTATGCTGTTACTAAAAAAATGGGCCTATTTCATAATCTCTAGTCTGTCAAATAGCTCTTTGACAGTGAAAATTCCTTTTTTCCTTTTCTTCTTAATCGTTACGACACGACAATTAGCCAGAAATTAACTAATTTCCATTCACTGGTATTTTCAAAAAAATTTTAACAGACAGTTTCACTCAATAGAGCTCCATTACATACGTCCCTCAAGAATTCCAAGTCCCTCCCACTACCATAAATTACTTCACACAAGTCTTACCGACTTATATAATTCAAAGCCCCCGCTGCCGCTAAAGAATTTCCGAAACACAACCCTTCTGAGTCAGACGCGAAGAGAACACTTTGCCCAATCCCAACTAGAAAGAACGTAAGTTAATTAATGCTTTTTATTGCCTTTATATCTTCATGTACATTCACTTTTCTTTTTATATATTTTTTAAAAAAATTTATTTTTTAATTTTGATTTGCTTTTACAAAGATTGCATTATTTTTCTTATAATTTGTATTTTTCTAATGTTTATTTAAACTACTTTGAATTTTATTTCATAATGACAATTTCCAATGTTTAATTTTTACAAATAATATTTAACTAAAATGCATAAACACGAGGGTGTCGGGGGACAGTTACTCGAACGATATCAATTTTACTGCAGAAATTGCTTTTCACTCAAAATTGAATTAGCTAAAATGTTTTATCGCAATGAGTTCTTTGGTTCTCTGCATTGGCTCTTAATCCCTTCTATTCACGGAAATGTTTGGCCTGGCTTGAATTGCCGGTTTGGCATCGCTTTATTGCTGGAGTAATGGACGAAACACCTTCGTATTTATTTCTTAATTATTGTTCATTGAACGGGAGTTGGTTTGTTCCCCTTGACAAGTCTAATTTCCGATCAATGATAATAATTACTTGCATTTAATTACTTGTTTTTAATTTATTTCTTTTTACAATTGAAATTTTGTTATTCATGATTTAATTCAAGTCCCCGTTAAACATTTTTAACAATTTATATTTAAGTTACTTCGCAACATCTTTCGAAATATAACTTACTAAGCATGGATTCACTCTTTTAAGATAATTCTGCTAAAATTAATCTCAGGAGATAATATAATCAATATTATGTAGTAAATAAATTATTTTTAACTTACTTTGCAGCAATTGCGCAAGTAGTAGAATAACTCGATTTCGCACTGAATTTAAGATCGCAGTGAATTTAAGATCATACAACATATATATATATATATATATACCCGCTCTATTATCCGTCTCGATCAGCCCAATTTTTATTCTTATATGTTGGTAAATTGTGCATTTTTGGCTTTAAAAGTGATTCAATTATGTTGTTCTTATGTTCCGGTTAAGGTTTTTATGCCTTTAGTTAATGTGCAAGCAACAGTTGTAGAAATATCAATAATATAATAGTTTAAGTGGCGCTGAGCCTAACGAGGCCAGAATTTGTTTACATTTGAAGTAGAATAATGAATCAAGTCATTTGACGCATTAACTTCAGTGTCTTTTGGCCCAGTAAAACCAAAAGTAAACTTTCGGTTTCGTACACCGAAAAATTTAGCCGAATTGCTTGTGTTTGCGTAGAAACTCTAATTTTAATTGCCAAAAAATTGTTTTTTAAGTGTTTTGATCTGTATTTGTTGTTTTATGTTTTCCTATATTTTACAGTTTTTAAAGAAGATATTTTGAATTTTTGTGCACTTTTTTTTTTTTTTTTTTTTTTTTTTTCAGCGAAGTCAATAAGCAGAATTGATTAAATGTGAAATATCTCTAATGAAAATTCGAGAAAATAAGTTTAAATAAAATGCAGCGAAAAATGTGTATAATTTAATAGGCCGTTCAAGGAAATCATATGGTGTCCGCATGAGATATTTTCTAAATATAAGTATACAATCTAATATTTTAAGTTAAATAATTTAGAACAGAATAATTATGTATTTTTGTAGATAAGAACATATCATTTAGCATTTGAAAATATATTTTCAACTGTTATTAAGTTACACTGTTGACGTTACCAAACGCTGAGTTATACCACGAATTACTAAGTAGTGTAGTGATTTGTTAGCATAATCTATTTTCCTCATAGTAGCGTCTTTGCTTGCTCTTCATTGTAACGTTAACATTCGTTCAAAGAAGATCATGAATACTGAGTGATTATAGTAAATGTTTATGAAAATGTTTTTATTCCAACAGAGCTAATGCGGACACTGCTATAAATTCGTATGATATTCCAAAAGGAACTGACATAATTCCCAATATATGGGCTGTTCATAATGATCCCGAATACTGGAAAGAACCTGAGAAGTTCAATCCACAAAGATTCCTCGTTGAAGAAAATGGGAAATTGACGGCAACTAAGCCTGAAGGTTATATTCCATTTTCAATTGGTAAGTATACGTATTTCTAAGTATTAAGACTACATTAAGGTTCGAGGCGAAAACTCAGTTTATTGTTAATATAATTACATATTTTTAATCATTTCATTAATTTAAATCAGATATTTTACTACTTTTCTCATCAATTTACGTTATTTGCTAGCTACTATTACATTACGTCAAAAAGAAGTAATCTTACATTTTATTATAGAAAGAGCTAAGGAGATTTTATTTAAATAATTTCTTTTTCTTTAACTTAGCATAGATAAAACTCTACTAATAGCTTTAATTTAGAATAGAAAAAATAAAATGAGAAGTGCTTTTAGGGATCCTCTGTCCATCTTTTATATACTACAGTGGCTCTCAAAAGTGTTCATACACTTATGATTTTCATTGAAATAGGACTCTATCCATTACTTAAAAGTAAACGTTTTAAATGATATTTTAATAATAAGATTTATAATCTATTCGTAACAAAATTACATGAAATATTTTTAAAATATAGCGAAACTTTATTTTTAAGAAATTAATAATCAAAAAATGATAAACATTTTATCTCACAAAAGTCTTCGGACACTGAAATATTTTTGGATAAAATCAAAATTAGAATTATAGTTTGCCGCCTTTCTTTAATTTTTGCATTGTGATGGTATTTAAAAAATCGTTTGCTTTAATTTTTTATTGTTTACTTCATAATATTGTATTTATTATTGAAAAATGGGTCGTAGTCGTAAAGAAATTACAAACAACATTCGAAAATTGATAATTTTTCCCCATAGTAGTGGTAAATCAATTCGAAATATCGCTGATTTAGTTCATTTATGCAGTATGTGATAAAACGCTTTAAAGAAGAAAATCGGATTGAAAACAAGGTAAGAAAAGGTCGACCGAGAAAATTAAATAAACGTGATGAGAGATTTATTATTAGAAAATTTTTGAAAAACCACGTTTGAGTGCTGTAAAAGTTTCTGCGGAATATAATGCAAAGTTTTCTACTTCAATTTCACCTGAAACTTTTCTCAGAAAAGCGATCTGCCTTAAAAAAAAAATTTGTTAGTGAGAAAAACAGAAAGCTTAGGCTTTCATTCGCAAAATCAATGATAAATACACCCGAAACGTACTGGAATAATGTCCTATTTACTGACGAAAGCAAATTTAATATTTTTGGTTCTGATGGTCGAAACTGTATGGAGAAGAAAAAATGAGGAGCTTCATTCTAAGAACTTAGTTGGAACCGTTAAGCATGGCGGTGGAGGTATTCTTGTGTGGGGAGGGGGCATGACAGCATCAGGACTAGGTAATTTGGTATTTATTGATGCATAATGAATCATTCTCTTTATTTAAATATTTTAAGAGACAATTTAAAATTATCAGCCCAAAATTTGGGTATTGGAAACAACTTTATTTTTAATCATGATAACGATCCTAAGTATACGGCTCTCATCGTTCGCCTATAGTGTCTATAATTGTCCACAGGTTTTGAAAACCCCACCTCAGTCGCCAGATTTAAACCCCAAAGAACACATTTGGAAAGAGCTGCAGGTTAGAGTACGAAAACACGACAGCGAAATGAAAAGCGAACCCAAAACAGCTATGATGAAGAAAGAATGAACAATGTCAAGATTTTTTTGAAGTGTACGAAGACTTTTGTGAGATAAAATGTTTGTCATTTATTTATTATTAATTTCTTAAAAATAAAGTTTCGTTTTATTTTTAAAATATTTCATGTAATTTTGTTATAAATAGATTATAGATCTTATTATTAAAATCTCATTCAGAAAGTTCACTTTTAATTAATGGATAGAGCCCTATTTCAATGAAAATCATAAGTGTACGAACACTTTTGGAAGCCACTGTATGCCTTTTACCTACGGTGCCCAGCTGTCGTCTCATACCAAATTCTTCCTGTTATTCCTTTCAAACAATTAGAAACAGAACAGTTGGATTTATTTGGTCCTCCTTAAAAATATTCCTAGTTTATAAATAGTGTAGCATCCCCGAATAAATTTGTAAATTTCTTTGTTATTAAAACGCGACTTTTATATTAATTCGTCTCAGTAACTTATATTTCTTCCATCAGCCTTCCCAGAATATAAGTTAGATGGGATTTAAATGTAGACAGATACAGTTTAGAGTTAAAATTCATAATGCATCAAGAAAGCTATACTTTCCGTCTACCTGCTGTCTGATGCGGTCTCAGTGAATATTTTCTGGGAATTACTGAATTTGTGCTTAGAAGACTCGAATAATCTGTAACCGCGCAGTGCAGACAATTCAATATTTCAGTTGTGCTGTAAATATTTAAGCATTTTTATATTCCGGAGACCCCCCCCCCCAAATAGCGAGGCATAAATTTTGTTAAATTCTACCTACAACTTGTGGTGATAATATATTTTTAATTCAGTTTTTAGCTCGTTTCTATATATATTTCGTTCTTCATATTACAATGCGAGGCCTGTAAAAAGTCCTTATCATAAGAAAATTATAAGTTTAATCTTACAGCTTAATCATGAATGCTATTCGAACAATTATTTTCTTTTATGACTGAATAGTATTGCGCCGCATAGGTGTAAAGGGAACCCGTGAAGCAGTTCTTTGTGTACAAAATAGGATAGGGTTATCAGTGACATTCTCATGCCCGATGGATATGTACTCATGGATGGTAGGAACTTAAATGCAACATAATAGGCAATTTGAAGGTCTTCAGAAGCTCTTCGGTAGTTATATTTCCCAACTTTTCTTTCGCCTTCCCTGTTGACTGCAGTAATACATACGTGGTATAACAACAAATGTTGGTGAATATGTACACAAAACAAAAGATTTCTAATTAAATCAGAAAAAAATGTTTTATATTCCTCCGAAATGACGACTGTCGTTGGCAATATGCTTTTGACAACATTTGTGCAATTTTTTAAAACTGCGGACAGTCCTTCTTTCTGTATCATATTGAGAACCTACGTCACATGGCTTTCAATGTCTGGAATGTACGGGGACAGAAAAACATTTTCTAGAGCAAAATTAGGTGAGTACGGTGGATGATCAAGGACTATAAATCTTTTACAGTTCGTGAACTGTTTAATAATGAAGACCGAATAGGGCCGGACCTAATCATGGAGAAGGAATCAAGAGTCCGGCTCAAGATATTCTGGACATATACATGACGGATACTTTGCAATAAATTTGGCTGAAAATCCTTGTATGTGTCAGCATTCATTTCTGCTCTTTATGGGTAACATTTTCTTCACTTTTATAATGTTTTTCTTCGCAGCGAGACGTCGTAAGTCTACCACTTCAAATAGCGTCTTCAACGAAATCCCAGTCCCACCGAAAACGTTTTTAACCATACACTTTGAATATATGGCTTCAGCTTGTAACAGGACCTTTAACAGTTACATCTCTGCACGATGAAATATTACAAACATGTATCCATAATACATATGCCAACACTATTCTCAGGCGTCTTATGTTATGTTACAAGACATGTTAGAACGTCTTGTATGCTTGCTATCATAAACAGAGCTCAATGTTAGAATACTGTTTAGAGAATAATTCCTAAGTATATAATGTTAGAAGAAGGGTGTAAAGAACATTTTCTTAACTCAAATGAAGTGCTTACAAAAGCCAACACTTTTGGCTTAAAACAAAAGGTAATGAATAATTTTAATCCCCTTTCCCCCCAAATAATTTAAAGTAAAGTTTAGCCTAGCGCCCTCACAGGTCAACTGTCGCGCAAGCTTGTTCTGATTAAGAATAGTTCAACGCCACGGAAATCTAATCGCTAGAAAATCAAAAATAGCAACGTGGCCTTCAGGCAGGCAGAAGACGCTTTGATTTCACTTTTCGAAACCTTCCCTTAACTACTCACTTCTTTCTACTTCATTTCAAAGCACACGCGCTGGACAATTTGCATTTTGAGAAGAAAGTGTAAGTTGAAAGCAAGAGCGATAGGAAAGTCGCTTAAACGCAAAGTAACTGTTAAATAAATAAAATAAATCTCCACATTGTTATGGAGTAGGATTTTCAAACTTCATCGTTCATTCACTAGCAAGCATATAATTCTAAATGCACACTTATATCGCAACCGAGGGAGGGGCTTCGAGAATGGACCAATGGGCTTCTACTGCTGTTGTGTGAAGCTGATCTAGGAGAGTTGATGTGTGAGGTAAATTTTAGTTTCGCAACCCTTTATTTTCAGTTAAATTACTTTTCTATCAAACTTCGTTTCATTTTCCTGCTAAAATGTAAATTTCCAGCGCGATAGAAAGAAGGAAATACTTAAAAGAAAGTTTTCGATGTAAAATCAGAGTATGTTCTGCCCGCTTCAAGGCCACGTTGCTAACTTTGATTCTCTAGCGATTAGAATTCTGTGGCGTTGAGTTATTCTTGCGACTAGTTTTATTTACTCCGACTTCGGTCAGAGTCAACTTAGGTGACAGTTAAATTGTGAAGCCATTAGGCTAGACTTAAATTTTATTAACTTTAGTTTACCCATTATCTTTGATTTAAAGCCAAAAGTCTTTATTTCTGTAAGCACGAGTTAGTGCCATCTGGGTCCTTTACACCCTTTCCCTGTCTCTGTAGTACTTAATGAATTAGGGAAGACATGGCATTACTTCTCTAATTGACTTTTTATAGGTCTAGTCTAACTGTATACTTCCCAAGAAGACCAGATTCTACAGATGTTTATATTTTATATCGCATTTGTTTTTCTGAGTTGTACTCTGCATACAGCATGTATTTGTATTCTTTTCATATTCTTTCAACCAAACAAAGAAATCTTCGCAATAACTTTTATTTGATCTAATTTCGCTTTGGAAATTTTTGGGACAAATTCACGATATTTTAATTGCTTTGAAGAGGACATTGGGTGACAAAACATTTTCAACCACCTTGGTTTAAGAGCGGCGAAGGCCATGTAGCTCATCAGAAAGTATTGCTTGAAAACCATTGGCCCGTTCTAACTGCTGTCTCAGTTGCGATACCGATGTGCACTTATGAATCATGATTTACTACTGCAATATTATTTTATATATTAATAAGTTATTAGAAGGAATTGCTGAATAATACTGCACTCATAAGTGGCCGAAAAGGTAAGATTAGTGAATACACTCAAACCTGTTTTTGTGCGGTCTTTTTGTGCGTTTTTTTTTTTTTTTGTTTGTTTGTTTGTTTGTTTGTTTGTTTTGTTTTTTGTTTTGTTTGCAGTATATGAAAATTTTGCTTTATAATCAAATTGGAACATAATTATGCGATTATATGACAGCAGATAAAAATCCATGCAGGACTCAGTTGAATTCCAAAAAAGAGCTTCAGTCTTGCATATCTAGCTACCGAGACCTAAACAAGCGTCAAGTAAAACAACAGTCTTCGCAAAAACTAATCATCATCTACATGGTAACTGTAAAAAAGTCAACTTTAAACAAGTGCCAGGTAGTATCTTCAAGTGATGAAAGCGATTTTGAACCAGTTTACAAGACAGTTCGCGTATTGTCACACTATGAAAGATAATGGCAATACATTTTAAAAAGTCTTGCATGTGTTCGCATTTGTATTTTCGAAATCAGATTCTGAATGTTTTGGTGAGATTCCATGTAGCTGCCGAACCTCGTGTGTTGATTTCGTTTAAAAAAGCAATGCCTAGTTATTTCATAAGGTTTTGAGTTATTTTCTAAGTGAGATTTTTTTTATGTGGTCCCTATTCACGGCATAAAAGAAATACATTTTAATTGTGTCGCGAAAACCATTTTTTTATAGCTACTCGTGAAGTTTTGCGCAATTTTTTTATGCGTTTTCTTTAATGCGGTCCCTATCCACCGCACAAAAATAGGTTTGCGTGTACTGGTGCAAGGAGATGATGGTAAGGACGTTTTCACAGTTTTCCCAATGCGTAAATTTCATGCCAGCCAGTTTCGCTTAGGCAGACTTCAACGAATGCAATCCTGTGTTTAAGCGGATAACTTTCAAGCATTTTGCGTAAACTGATAATTCTTACTTAACTTTTTCACTTTTGTTTTATTAGAACTAATTTGTGTTATACCCTTGACTTTTCATTCTACTTATATTTTAAATTTAAACGTTGCATATCAAAGCTTTTATTTACTGTAAATTCTGTAAAATAAGCCAATAATATATTTTCTCTAAATAATCAATTGTTTTATATTTCAAATTGAAATATTTTTTTTCTTTTGGTAAAATACGTACTTATTGCTGTAAAGTCTATCAAAATATTCACTGCAAATTCTGTAAAATATGCAGGTAAATATTTTATGTCAAAACGATAAATTAAAAAAACAATTACGAGTTACGTTTTTACGAGTAACTTTTTAAAGTTACTCGTAAAAACTTTCTAATATTTCAACTTAATTTTGCGGAGGAGGGGATAATTTACATACGTATTGTATTATAACCACAGCCTAGAATTCAGTTTTACTCTGAAATTGATGGAACTTAAAATGTTTGTTTTGTTATTATTCATAGGAAGACGTAACTGCCCTGGAGAACTGGTTGCTCTGATTGAAATCTTACAATATTTTGTGGTTCTCATGCAGAATTTCACTCTACTTCCAGAAGTTGACGGCAAACTTCCAGATTTAAGCGGAAAATTAGGAGCCACCTATCAGTGCAAACCCCAAAAAATACGATTCGTACCGAGAGACTAAGAAATAAAGAAATGATACTATTGTTTACTGATTATCATTTATTTATATTTTTTTAAAATTTTTTATTAGTCCAAAGGGGCTTTGTCCCTGAAGGACTATTGTTTTCGTTTTGCGATTTTGCGTTGAATAAATGTCCGTTTCACTTTTCAAACTGTTGTCACCAAATGTTATAGTCCTGCATTATATTTGAAGAAACTAAATAATGAAAAATATGCATAAATGTAAGTATATTTCTCGCATTGTGATAAAACAATAGTACATAGAGCCATCGAATTATGAATGACGTAATCCTCCTACGAATATGGGCATGTGGAAGCCCAAATTTAAAATTTGTTTTATTATCGATTTCATATTTTGTAAACCTTTAACTAATTTTTGAGTAACAACTCAGCGATTTAAAAGTGAGCAATGGCAACACTCTACGGAAAAAATAACCTTTTTATCTTCAGCGCACGGAACTGTGTATGGGAAATTCTAAAGATATGCTCATTTTAAAATTATTTTGCGAGATTTCTATTGAACTGAATTTTATGGTTTAAGTGAAAAGAGCATGATATTTATAAAATAAAGGCAACACACGAAAACGTCAAAAAAACGCCCCTTTGGACGTAATTTAAAATCTGAAACCTTTCAGACATTTTATTTATTTATTTATTTATTTTGTGTGTGTGCTAGTTTTTGAAACTAATATTTTGATATGGAAGTTCTGATGACTGACACGAATTTCAAATAATTATCTGAACAGTTTTGAAGTTCTTTACACTATATCGTTATGTTTAATGAAGTATGCAGTTACAAAATTCAAAATTAAAACTTTTAACTCAAATATTTTAATTAAATTTAACATAAAATACCAGTTTAGCTCCAAATTACTTATGACCTTTAATCCTTAATGCTATCAAATGCCAGAAAAGTTTCACCAAAATAAAACAGCAGACGATGGGCACTTCGTAAGACAAGCTTGAGTTGCTCCTTAAAACACTTTCTCTAACTTTACATACTCGTTCGCTTTTTAAACACCGTCTAACTTATTCTCGTGAAGCTTATGGAAAAAAGAGATATGACAGGAGAAAATTAACAGCGGAATTAATTTTTTGGTTAAATTGTAATATCAGAAGGAAATTTATAAATTGAAAATAATATTAATAACAAAAAATAAATAAAATTTAATAATGCCCCCCTTTTAAGTGTTAAGTAAAACTAAATATTTTAATTATACATTTAGCCTAATTGCTGCAAGTAAGCAAAGCACGTTCAATCAAAGTAAATCTATTTTACTCGTTTTAATCTTAAGGAACAATTATAATTTGGCAAGTCTGCAGATTATTACTTTGTATTGATTCCATTTTCTAAATTTTAATAGCCAAATGATATCTTTTCAGTTTAGAGTTTTAAATTTCTGTGTGGTCATTTATCTGCCTTTCTTAAAAAACGCTTTTAAAGCATCTCACATTTCATTATCACAATTTTTTTTTGCAAAGAAATCTTCTAGCTTGTAAATCGGATTCATTATAAAAATGAATCCGATTATGCATTATAAAAAAAATGCAGTTTTGTTTTAATTTAATCACTACAAAGTAATTACTTCTAAAACAAGTTATCAACTGACACTATATAGATGTAAGCTGCAATATTCGATTGCAAGGTGATCCAGGTCTCTGTCATCAATTTCAAACAAGAGTTCTTAAAAATGTTATTCATTTATTAAAGAAGGAATAAAGTTAAGGAGTTGAAGGAAGAATAAAGTTCAAATATTCCAGTGATTATTTCTCCCTTTTAATTTCCTTTGTAAGAATGAAACCACAAAAAATACACACCTAATAAAAAATAAGAAAAAACGCATAACACGAAGTAAAACAAAAACTATTTAATGGATATGCGTGAAATTGATCCAAGACGTTGGGTGGCATTACTAAACCAGATTAATTTTGCGCCTTAAGTTGCATTAATTCAGTCGTAATAATCATTACTACTGGACTAATTCAGCGGTAATTTGATTTTACTAATTATTATTACTGAATTAATGCAGCATCCAGTGCCTAATTTAGCTCTGGGTTTGTGAACTTAATATTTCTTTTTATTTAATTATTTAAATTTCTGTACATACAGTGGATGGACAAAAATATGGAAACACCTTGTGAAATGCATGTTTAAAAAGAAAGATTGATTTTAATGAAATATGTAGGTGGCGCTGGCGTTTTTGACTACTGACGCCACCTATACAACTTCGTAAACGTGTTAAACAGTTCAGTTGTTATCGGAGTATTGTTATGTGAGGTTGTCATTGCATTATGTCAGAGTTAACAGACTTCGAACGTGGGCAAATTGTTGGAGCACGTATGGTAGGTGCTTCCGTAAGCAAAGTAGCCGAGGTGTTTAGTGTTTCAAGAGGTACTGTATCGAAGATTTATTCCGCATATTTGAAAAGCGGAAAACCATCATCTGCTAAATCACAGCGCGGACGAAAGTGTGTCCTGAGTGATCGTGACAGACGATCATTAAGGGCAATTGTGACGAAAAATAAGAGGACCACAGCTTCAAAAGTTACTGCTGAAATGAATGTTGTGTTACCGAAACCTGTGAGTACCAAAACAATTAGAAGGGAGCTTCATAAACAGGGAATTGCTGGCCGTGCTGCAATTGAGAAGCCACTCATCAGTGATGCTAATGCAGAAAAAGGTGGTGTTTAAGTCATAAAGCCTGGACTATAGAGCAGTGGAAGCGAGTAATATGGTCTGACGAGTCTTCATTCACATTGTTTGCCACTTCTGGCCGAGTTTACGTCTGGAGAACGCCATCTCAAGCCTGTAATACAGACTGCTTGATGCCAAGAGTGAAACATGGCGGGGGTTCTGTTATGGTTTGGGCAGCCATATCGTGGTTCTCTGATAGCCCCATGATAACTGTGTCAGGGCACATGACTGCCAAGACTTATGTGAACATTTTGGCCGATCAAGTTCATCCCATGGTACAAACTTTGTTCCCCGATGGTGATGGTGTCTTCCAAGACGCCAAAGCCCCTGTTTACACAGCTCACATTGTCCAGGACTGGTTTTCTGAGCACGAGGATGAGTTGTCCCATCTTCCCTGGCCACCACAGTCACCGGACCTGAATATTATCGAACCTTTGTGGTCTACATTGGAACGGAAAGTGCGTTCTCGTTATCCACCGCCAGCATCGTTATCTGAACTTGCCACCGTTTTGCAGGAAAAATGGTATAATATTGCTTTGGCAAACTTACAGGAACTGTATTTATTCCTTCCGAGAAGACTGCAAGCTGTTTTGGATGCCAACGGATTTCCTACACCATATTAAGCAAAGAAACATGTTTTTTTTTAAAGGTGTTTCCATATTTTTGTCCAACCCCTGTATGTGTGTGTATGTGTTTGATGATATTGAAAAGACATAGAAAGATGTTGAAGCTTAATATACCAGATCCGTACTGAAGAAGAAACTTGGAAGTCATATAACGATAGATGCAATAAGACGCAATCGTAGCAGATTTAAATAATATTTCTTTTACTGTAATTAAACATTTCAAGGCACAAATAATTTGGTACATTAATCGCACCCGTTCCAGAATGTAGCGTTTATACATTTACATTTTTGATATCATTTATGCAAAAACAGATGCAGCAAGCAGCAGTCCAGTCAGGCCAAAAAGCAAGAGCGAAGTATGTTGAGTTTAGGGCGAAATCTTAATTCAGAATGGAACAGTTTTGTATTCAGTATATTTGATTGTAAAATTAAAAATCAGCCAATAAAATGTATTAAATGTATCAAATAAACTAAATGAATCCAGACCAAACTTCTATACATTGAATAAATAAATCTAGAGACATTAAATTTATACATGAGACAAATCTATAGATATTAATACAAGAAACCAAAGATACTATAGTTGAGTAGTGCCTAACTTCTTGATTTCTTTCTTTATAATAATTAATATTCAATAAAATTAATTAATAAATTTGTAAATAATAATTAATAACTTTAGGAAACCCAACAGTTAATTTTTTAAATGTTTAGTTACTGTATGTTCGCTTATGAAAATGTTCTATCTGGTTTTAAACCTGGAAATAAATTGGGCAAAAAGAGTTGGAATTCTTTTTGTTAAGAGAGGCAGTAGTATAAAACTTTCGCAACATTTCAAATTTGCATGGTCGAGACTGGGTAATTAAGATTGTCAATTTTAGTGACAGCAGCAGATTGAATGCCAAAAGATGTTAAAGCGGTCATAAACTACACTTTATAGAAGCTTAGCGGCACTTGAACGGACAAGCAGAGACATTTGCGCATAAGAAATATTAATTGGTGAATGAGTAATAATAGTGTGTAAAGTTCAATGACAGTTCCTCCTGCACAAAACCACATTTTTTTGATTACCTTTCGATATCTTGGAACAGACTTGGAGTGTTAATTTTAGTGTCAGTTGATAACTTGTTTTAGAAGTAATTACTTTGATTAAATTAAAACAAAACTAAACTTTGCAAAACTTCAAACTGTCGGACTATATAGATCTAGAAATATAGATTTCAATAAAGTGTTTATATTACCTATGTGCTAACTTTTAAAGAATGATAAGTGCTTGAGAAGTCGGGTACCTTTAAAATATCAGAATATCCGAAACATGCATTGAATTTTAAAGCTTAACATCTTTATAACTTTAATATAAAAGTGAAATTTTGTGTGTTTATTTCAATATTCTTAACAGTAATATTAGTTACTTTTATTTTATATACAACTATTAAAATTTAAAAAAAATACCTTTCTTGTATTAAACATCCACAAAATATTGTAACATGTACAATGTGCAACATGGTATAAATAAATCAGTACTTTTTTAGTTCAGCTGATTTTTTTCCAAAGAAGAAAAATAAAAATGTAAAATTAAAATAACCCGCATTAAAAATAATAGAATTATATTTTCTTAAAATATTTTATTTATAAATTTCATTTTCATAGCTCACAAATCAATTATTTTTAACATAATTAAATATAATTTATAATGAAAGACACAGTAGTTCTCCTTTTAAACTCAATTAGGGTTTATAAAATTGCCCAATTTTTTTTTAATATAAGTCTGAGAAATGCTTTTGGAGAAATAGTGCCAGCAAGCAAGAAAAATATTGTCATCAGGAATCTAACGTTTGAACAGGAATGGACACTACTTAAAAAAATAATGTCAATATAATAAGGCTAATTGATTCTTTCTCACAGGCTGTGCGAAAATGTCACTTGTTCTCCATGGCTGGTTACAGTTGATAGAAAATTTCATGTTTCCACTACGATGATGTATACAGATGTCACTTGTGCTGAGCTGCCTGGTGCACAAGTGTCATGCCACTTTTGTAAAATGTATTAATGAGGAGCAATGGAAAACCAATTTGGTAATATAGACTAGAAAATAGTTAATGAGATCTATAAATATTTTTAAGACACATATGAACGAATTGCATAAAGAATATGTTTAACAGATGCTTTGATTCTTCAGTTTCTATTGCATATTTTTATAATTTGCTTATTCATTTAACCAGTTAGTAAACCAATTAATTCCAGAAACATAATCAACTTGCCTCACGAAAATTTTAACTTAAAAACTCTAGTGTAAATTTTTATTTCAAGAAAGTTCATAAAATCTAAATAATTGTGAAACGTTTCGTCGCGAAGATCATTAAACTCCTATGTTTAATTCGACTTTCCTCTAAAAATCAAAAGTAGCTTTTGACAGAGTAATAATTAATTAATACAGTAACCTGTATTAGTGAAGAATTAATACAGTAACCTGTATTAGTGAAGAAGTAGAATAGATTTGGAATGGAACAGATTTGAAACCTTAGCAGTTGTTTACTGTTAGAGAAACCCGTTCAGGTAAATGGTTGTGTTTTGATTTATTTTTCAAGTTTGGAGCTCAAATTTCAAAGAGGTTTCTAAATCCATCAAAAGTATTTGAAATGTGTCATATTTTATGCACTTATGGTTTCTAGTTTTAATTTTACGTATTTAGACATAAAATTAAAAGCACAATCCATCAGAAAGAATGATTTCTTTCACGTTAAAAAGAAAAGTAAGACAAGCATGCCAGAAATCAGCAACAAAAAATTGTGCTATCTTCTGATTCTATTGCACTAATTTCATCATATTTCTATAAATTTATTAATGTTTACAGTAAACGCTGTTTTAAACCGTTAAATTTATATTTTTTGTAAGGAATACTAAACTGTAATGATGAAAAATGTATGAAAATGTAAATTATACATTTTTTTAAATAACTTTGAATGAGAAATATTGAATTATTAGATTATTTTACGAAATAATTTACACGGAACACAGTTTGTATTAATCGCATTTACAATGCTCGAAAGTTTAGATTTTATTTACACCATTAACTATGTTGCAGATCTACATTACTTCCACAAAAATGAAATCTGGTTTTCATATATATGTACATATTTTATTTTATTCATAAATAGATTCGAATTTTATACTTTTTCAGCATTCCTATACCATTTACTTTGTCAAAAAATTTGTTACAAATCTCAGCTTTTCAACATATTTATTATATTGAAAAATTTAGCTTCGTTTTATACTATATAAGTTTGGATTTGATTTATATCATCTGGAATTTATTACATTTTTATTTTTAGTGGCATTTATTATGTAGAAAAATTATATTTTAATTTTATTCCCACACTACAGAATGCTACAATAAAAACTCATTACAATAAACGAAAAAAAGCAACTAAGATATTTATGAGGAGAATACCAAAACATAACTTTCGCTGCTTGCGATCTACAAATATAGCATCATTTGGATTAGTTACAAATCACTTGTTAAAGATCATGAAACTGTCTTTTGCGGTAACGTACCTTCGTTGAGGACTATAAGTAAAACTCTATTTCCCCAACAATCGGCAGAGCATATCGGTAAGAAACACCAGAATTACCGTGCTTCGGATCTTAATTGTCAAAGCACTCTCTCTAAATTTACCTAGTCGCTCATTATCTAAACTTGCATTTTTTATTGGCTAGACGAAACAATAAAAGTGGAAGAAAGATTCAATCTGAGAAAATAAAGTTACTCGTTAAAATAAGTTTTGTCGCTTTATCTTTAAAATGATACTCATGCATTTTTAGAAGAGTGTTGCATTTTCAGCAGAGCTCAAGCCTCACCTTTTATCCCCATAATTTTTTAAATAAAAGTATAGTGCCACCAAATGTTATCCCCTGTATTATTTAAAAAAATATAGCGAAAAGAAAAAAATATGGTAACCACATGCACTATCAGTAATTCTAAAAGCAGGCTGTTTTAAAATATTTTGTTATTTTGCTGTTGAATTATTGTTGCCTAAGGCCAAGAAAGTAATGCTTAATAAATAAAGTTATACAGACCTTTGATATAAAAAACTCCTATTTCTAATTATTTTCATGATTTAAGTATTAATTTATAAAGAATACGAAATGTGCGACATTATACATGAACTATTATAATATATCACCATAAATTTGATGAAGGAGGACAAATGGAAACACATCCATCATAATATTTTTTAAGATATTCTCAATGACTAACTGGTTTCTTAAATTAGCTTTAGTTAGCATTCGTATCTTATATTTTTCAATGTCAATGTTTGAAGACGATGCATTTTATATATAATGAGTGAAAGAATACATTTGTTTTGACAATTCAGTTACAGTTGTGACGAAATTTATAATCTAAAAATTATCTTGTAAGTTTAAACAGCTTCTGCTCATCTAAAAATATATTAGTCTTTGGATTAAGGTACAACAGTGAGTAAACAAAGCCAATTGTTATGCAAACGTAGCATATCCATTATCAGCACAGAAGTATCAATTCATGGTGTAAACATTGCCATGTGACACATTTCAAGGCAACTATAATTCGATCTTTGTATCGATGATGTAACTGATGATGCTGATGTATGCTAAGAGAAATATAAATGAATTTCTTTCATAATCTTCCATAATCTCTCATTAAGAAAAAGCAAAAAGTGGATGAAAACAATTTTTCAAGCAACAATGGAAGATGTTATAAAAATTATACGAGTTATTGTTTTTACAAGCAGATTTGTGACTGAACTAGATAGAAATTGTTGTCTAATGACTTCCGACATATATTTGTTACAAGTCTGGGCAAAAAGAATGCATGACTACATTTTTGAACACTTAGTAAGTCTCTTTTTTTTTATTACTTCCTTCTACGAAGTAAAGGAAGTACTGTACTCGCGAAAAATTTCGAATATCAGATTTCAACGAAAATATCCATTTTGATCGTTCTTGAATCCATTCGAACAATGTTTTTGCGGGACACCTCTACCTAAGCACAGAATAAAAGACACTATTTTTCCAAAAGTAATTGTAAAAGGGATTTAAAATAGATTCAGAGGAGATGTTTTTCGTCATGTGAGTAGGTATTTATCTCGCATAAGTCAAAAACGAGTAGCCGTAGAACTTTGAAATTTTGTATATGGGGCTGCTATAATACCTAGCTGTGCACCTTACGTTTTCGTTGTAACCGGCGGTACCAAAAGTATAATATATATGTATATATCCACTCTGTTACCTGGCTCAATGAGCTCATTTTTTTATTCTTATGTGTTGGTAAACTGTGCATTTTTGCTTTAAAAATGATTTAATTATGTTGTTCTTATGTCCGGTAAAGGTTTATATGCCTTTATTTAATCTACATGCAAGTTACAGAATTTAAAAACTTAAGAATTTAAAAACTTAAGTGGCATTAAGCTAAACGAGGCCGCCATTTGTTCAGCAGTTAGTTAGCTCTTAGTACAGCAGTGAATTTAGTCAGCTGGTGCATCAACACCAATGTCTTTTCGCACAGTGGGACTAAAAGTTAATTTTCAATTTTGTAAGCGGAAAATTTTGTCTTCCTGCCCGCTGGTTTAATTGCTTGTTTTTGCGTAGAAACTCTAATTATAATTGTAAAAATTGTTTTTTTATTGTTTTAACAGTATTTGGTGTTTTATGTTTTTCAGTATTTTACAATTTTTAACGAAGATGTTTTCAATTTTTACGCATTTTTGCTTTGCTGGAAAGTGAGAACTGAATTGATTGAATGTGAAATATATCTCCGATGAAATTCGAGGAAATACGTTTAAATAAAGTATAGGAAAAATCTGTGTAATTTAATATGTGGCCACATCAGTTGTGTCACATCAGATATTTAAATAAGCGCAAATGTAGCCAACAGAATGAATTTTCATAGAATGATAATCGTAAACAATTTCTCCCCCCCCCATAACTTTCTATTCTATTATCAACAGCTCATTTTAAATGCATGTTCTTAATCTCGAACTCCTAAGAATATTTTTTAAATTCTTGGGCATTAATAGGAAGACGAAGTTTATCAGATTTTTCATTATTTCGTTTTATTACTTTTTAATTTAGAATTTTTATTTCTAAAACATTTAATAATAATTTTTTTCAGATGCATAAGATTGTAGTTTGAAGTTTTCAAATTAAAGTTTTCAAAATTTTTAACAACTAATAAATATATTATTGCTTTTGTTTATTGTTTTCTGTAATGCTTCGAGAAAATATCGTCCGATATACGCAATTATTGTTGATAATAGACTATGAATGAGGTATTTTGTCTATCTCAGATATAATAATAATAATTCCTCGAGGCTATAGCAAACAATATGTATTTAATATTTTAATATTTTTTTTTCCATCTCATTATATATTAAAAAAACGCAGAAACGAACACTAAGCGTTTAAAATTAAAATTTGTTTTTAGTTAAATTTTAATGTTATTCAGCAAGGCTTTTAATTTTATAAGCTAATAAAAATAAACTTTCTTTTTATATAGAAGAAAAGCGAAATATTTGTATGAAATTCCTATTTAGAATTTTTATATACATTATTTTGAATACATTTGGATGGTAAATTCTTCTTCGAGGTGTCTTAGTGTAATATGAAACTTGCAATCTGCAAATTTTGATTTTCTATAATGATAAATACTTGTTTGTGCGGATAGCGATAAGAAAGTTGCGGAGTTTTATGTTTCCCACTCTGAAATAGGGACCAATATCAAACCACTCAGGTTAGAGTCATAGATTCTTAGACCTATTGTAAATTTTAAATTTTCGTAAATAAACGCTTTGCTTTCTAATCGTCTTTAACTACATTTTACGACGAAAGAAATTCATAGCAAGCAGTGTCGAAGTGTTGATCTTTGAATACGCCTGCGAAGAAACGTAACAGTCTCGGTGTGTTGTGCAATAAATGTATTCATTTATAAATTAATTTGGTTATTACATATTTATGAACTCCAAAGAAGAGATGACTATTTGCCAGCTCCGAGGTACGTTTTGATATATAGAAAGCAGTTACTTTACAGTTTCACGTTCATTAAAATTAATGCATCTCATTTGCTTTGTGATGCTTTTGGATATGAAGAACATAGTCTCTTGCAATGTCACTAAAACCATCACATTCTTTTAAACAAAATTTTAAAATAAATTGCCCTGTAGATCAACTTCCCTGCTTCCTAACATTTTTGTATTCATTATGTCCATGTTTCTGATGCATTTTAATCTAAAGTACATACTCGCTTTCAAGATCAGCACGATGAAATTGGAACCACTAAAGTCAAATCGTTTTGCCTACTTCCTAGCAATCTTCGACTCAGGGAATATGACGGTGTAGTCCTGGTGCATTTGACCTAAAGAACATGTCTGTTTTCTAGAACACATTGACAAATTTAAAACCACCAATACCAGATATTTCGCCTACTTTCTACCATTTATTAACTCAAAGTACACAATCGTGTATTTCTGGTGCCTTTTGATCTAGAGAACATGATCGCTTCTTAGATTGCAGGGTTACACTTGATCTGGTAATGCTAATTCATCCAAAAATCCCAACACACGTGAAGCGAATTATCGCTATGACTGAAACAAGGGCAAAGTCATGAGAAAGTTAAATAATGTTTTCATTTATACAGAATTTAGAATACAAAGGCACTCGTTTATGCTATAATATGACCACAACTTGTGGTGATGAAACTAAATATAACAGTCAATTAAAATTTAACATCGAACAGTAGTATTATGCAATTAAAATTACTATTCTAGAAGCTGGTTCACTACTCTACATGAGCGTCAAAATTAAAATGTCAGCACCGATAGAGCGCAAAGCCGAATAATTACAAATATCATAATTAACGGGAAACTAACACCATGTCTGAAACACACTTTGTCTTAAAATCCAAAAACCTCAGTTTAAAAACTGGCTACTCATTTGCATTTTGATGAGGAATAAGGAAAAGATAAGTTATAGTAAATACTGAAAATGTAACTGGTTAATTAACGCAAAACTCTGCACTAGGTCACTTGGATGGATTTAGAATCATCCCAGCCAGACCATTTTGCCTATTTCTTAGCATGTTTCCCTTCAAAGAATATGACTGTGCATTCTTAGTATTATTTTGATTTAGATAACATGCCCGCTTCTTAGGTTACCTGTGTAGATTTAGAGCCATAATGTTAGATAATTTTAATTACTTTCTGGAGATTCTCCGATTCAGACAGCATGAAAATTACTTGGCTTTAATTCAGGTATTAGAAAGAAAATTAAAACAAAAATTTAAAAATTATTTAACTAAAACTCTTGCTTACAACAAAAGGTTCACTGTTTCTGTAGCTCATATGTTAAAAAGAAACATATTACTTGAATGAAATAGGGTACAATTCAAAATGGCCTAATTTGGACAATTTTAATATAGTCCTTGCAAATTTAATGAGTTAACAGGCTATTTATGCTCTTAAAACTAAATATTTGCTTTTAGTTGCAGCACATAGATATAAAATCAGAGATTTGAAATATTATGCCTAAACATTTAGAATACAAATTAGATTTGCTCACGATCTTAGCGATTAGCAGAAGCAAATGAGCATTGTTGTAGTGGATTCAAGGTTAGATTACATTACTTGATAGTAAAAGCACATAAGGACTATCTGCATAAAAGAAGGCATATCTTTGTGGAGTAGTCGTTAAGGAAAACCGTCTCGTATTCACTTTATAGCTGGAGGAAAACACTTATGTAGCCAACTGTTTCGCTTGCATTCGAATCTAGAACTAGCTATCAGTATTCAGCGGTCTTAACCAGTCAGGCTAGCCTCCCATTCGGGATAGTGGTTAACGACACTGACTGCTATACCAAAAGCCCGGGTTCGAATTCCCGAGAAGTCATGGATGTGTGTAAATGTTTGTGGAGACATTCTAAATATGCAGAAAGTCTGAATATTTAGAATTAATATTTAATTTTCTTATTTATTTCTAATTTACAGCCGAAAGTCCCCTCGAGAGGTTTGGGTAGGGGGATAGAGTTGGAAGACACTCAGACGTGCTTCCCCTTCAAAATTGGGAGCAGAACTGAGCAAAGTCGTTCTGTCATCTGCATGGCGCACCAAGGCTTTTGCCAACGACAGGCGCAATCTTGATCAGTTCGTGGGCTTGCTCTACAGCACAAGAGCAGCTCAGAAGAATGTGTCAGAGGATCTTCCACCCCTTTCTTCCCTTACCATTAACCTCTCCAGAGAACATTCGATTCGTCACATATCTAGAGTACTCTCATGCCTCACACTATTCATGTACAATCTTTTGATTAGACTTTTGGATGCCTAAACACGAGCCCTTCGGTACGGCAGTCAGAGTCACTAACTACTATGTCGGTTGGGCGACCCTCTGGGCACATGAGATGATTTCTTTCTTTTGTAGATGCATTATTGCTTAGGCTGTGTGGAACATCCCAGATAATGACATCAGTACAGAGACTACGAATGAATAAACCCAGGAAATATTTCATCTTCAAACGATTTGTAGTTCGGGATGGGGAGAAATAGTGCTAAGATTCAAATGTTAATACTCCAGTTCTATTATAAACACTTAACTGCTGGAATTATGGAAGCAGGAACCGACTCTATTGCGAATCAATGTAATCAGGCATGTTGCTGGTATCTTTTAGGTTGTATTTAACTAGAGGCTTATTTTCATATTCTAACATTTTCTTGCAGATAATTTCTGCTGAGCTGAGAAAATTAATTTAAGACCTAAAACTCGTTACCGAAAATAAGTGAGAGTTTCAATGTGAATCTTTGATAATTAAATCAAAAAGAAATATTGTCTCGTGCGTGCGGAACGAGATTAATAAAATTTATTTGACCAAAAGAAACAGTTCACAAATCTGGAACTTTCCACAAATATATTCTTACAGTTCTTCACATTATTACGGAGATTTTAATAAGTCCAGCCAGTGTAATTTTCATTCGCATGTATTTCATACTGTAGCGAATTTCACGCGTTCGGAGATTTCTTAGTTAATAATCATATAGTCAAAATACTACGTTTATTGCTTTAAAAATGCTTACTTTGTTAATCAATACCAGATAGTTTAAAACTGAAAGAAAAATCAAATATGACTAAATAGAAACACACTACAGAGTAGGAGGTAAAAATATTTTATGCCGTTAGTAGCAACCGACATAAAATACCAACAATAAAAAATTAACAATACAAAATTGTTAATAGCAAACAGAATTATTTTAAACTGCTGCGTTGAAAGAAAAGTATCTTACGCTTTGATGAGAGACAACACGCTGCTTTTAAATCGCTGAGTTTGCTTATCCAAATATAGCCTTTAAATCTCTATAAACCTAAAAACAAATAAAAAAACTTCGAAATTCAAAATTCAAAATTCGGTTTCCTAATGCACATGTTATGTTATGTTATATTATGTAGAGGTGAGGAGGTCACCTAATATTTAGCCTAAGTTAAGGACTACATGTGTTCAAGAATTGGTGGCTTTAGCTGCCGCTTTTCTCCATCAAAGAGAAGAATTAACACGCAGACAGGCGTGCAGACAGATTGTTTATTATTTAAACTGAAAGTTTCTCTAAAGAAGAAGCTCAAATGCAGCTACACATAACTATTCTAAAGAGAAAATTTAATGATAAAATGATGTAAAATTGGTCATCAATTTTATTTCGAAAACTGTAAAAAAAAACGTAAACCTTCCAAATAATTCATAAACTTTTTTTTTTAAATTTATTTTTCGTATGGAAAAATAAAAATAATGAAATGGGATCATTAATTACTAATCGAATATAAAAAATAAGATTAAAAAAATTAATTCTGAAGGAAATTTGAAAGAGAAATAAAAGCTTAACTAAACTGATAAAACACTCACTATTGTTAAATAAGAAATAAATTTGATAAACATCATGACAGCATTCGCACTTTTTGCTTGTCTAACAGTTTCTTTCTTTGCATTATCATTACCTTATCATTTCAATGATAGCTCTGTTGCAGTATATATATATATATATATATAAATTATTCCTCTGCAGAATACACTTCGTATGGAATATGATGGAGTACCTCAAGGAATTCAATGCCATCAGCCCCATGATTTTTGGAATTTTGATAGCTTTTGTCACCTTGCATTGGTGGTACGGCAAAAGAAGATACAAACTTCCACCTGGCCCCATCGGTCTGCCTCTTCTTGGATATTTACCATTCATTGAAAGAAGATCTTTCGTCTCATTTACAGAATTAAGTAAGAAGTATGGGAAAATATACAGGTGCGCTGCTTTTTTATATTAAGGTTTGTTTTTTAAATTTTGATATCATATATTGCAGATTTTCAGTTTAGTAATGTTAGAATTTTTTTTTAATTTTGTCTTTTAAAGAAAATGATTTTGAAATTTATGAATTTATGAAAATGGGTTCATAGGTATAATATACCAATAAAATGGTAATTAATGATTTTTTTACTCTGTGTGCAATTCTCTGCTTCTAGATGATCCATTCAGAGTTTGATTTGTTAAGTTTTGTAACACTAATTTAGTAATGTACACTGGACAAAAAAAAAGGGGGAACGGTTCTTTATCCCCCGTTCTACTGGGCCGACTGACGAAATTGAAATTGCGTTTTTCATGTCTTGAAAGCGCGACTTAGTATATATATTAGATATATATATATAGCGTTGTTGTTATAGATATTCTGATATAAATCCCAACTTTTTCTGATATGACATGCCAATTTTTTCCCACACTTCCATTCTACGACTCAAAATTATGCATAAATATTAAATTTTGCAAAATTTGGTCTGTAATTTATGCAGAAATTAAAAATTTATCCCGACGCATTTTTTTTTCAGTTTGCGCCAAGAATAATTCACTTAGCAAACTTCTTATATATGGCAACACATTTTCACATTGCGCATAAGCGAAATAAAAGTTACTTTGTTCCTACTTTCCAATAATTTTAACAAAGTACCTAAACTACATTCGATGTTATTATCGCTTTCAACAAAAATGGCAAATTTCAAAACGCGCCAATATATAAATTCACGTATATCTTCGGAAAATTTGAATAAAAAATTGTACTTTTTTTGCAGGTATGCTTGGAAATATGTCTACTTTAAGATGATGGCAAAACTTTATAGATTATAATTCAAATGTTTCTGAAAAATTTATCAAAATTATTTAAAAATACAAATTTTAAAAATAAATCATAAAAAACGGGCGCATTTTAATTGGAATAAAACTAAATTTCGAAACGTGAAAGAAAGAATCAAATAAGTTTACTAAAAAAGACAGATTAATAAATATATAGTAAATTCAATAAACATTGAGGAGTTAAATTTCGGAAAGCTAATATTTTAAAAACAACTCGTACGTGTTTTACAAAACTTGGCAGTTTGGCATCATTTGTATCGTAGAATCGAAATATGGAAAACAATTGCATTAATTTCAGAAATAATCCGATTTTGAGTCAAAATACCTTTATTAGAACAATGCTATTTATAATTCTAATACATACCCTAAGTTGCCTTTCTGAGGCATGAAAAACCCAACTGAATTTTCTTATCGGCCCAGTAGAAAGGAAGATATAGAAATGTTTCCTTCCTTTTTTTCAAGTCCAAAGGGGCCTTTATCCCTGATGGACTATTGTTTTCGTTTTGCGATTTTGCTTCGAATCACTCTGAATGTCCGTTTCACTTTTTAAACTGTTACCACCAAATATTATCGGCCTGTATTATATTTGAAGAAATTAAATAATGAAGAATCTTCATAAATATATGCATGTTTCTCTCATTGTGATTAAATTCCGGGTACATTAGAACCATCCAATTTTGAATGACGTAATCCTACTGCGAATATGAGCATCTGGAAGCCCAAATTTGAAATTTGGAATTTGTTTTATTACGATTTCATATTTTGTAAAACGTTAATGAATTTTGGATTAACAAACTCAAGGAATTTCAAAGCGAGCAATGGCAACCTTGTACAGAAAAAACATTTTTGATCTCCAGCGAGGTAGACTGTGTATCAGAAATTCTAAAGATAGGCTCATTTTAAAATTATTTTGCGATATTGCTCTTGAACTGAATTTTATGGTTTAAGTGCGAAGATCATAATATTCAATAAATAAAGGTAACATAAAAAATTTTAAAAAACACCCTTTTGGACGCAATTTAAAATCTGAAACCCTCCAGATTTTCTTTTCAGACCAAAGGGGCTTTGTCCCTGAAGGACTATTGTTTTCGTTTTGCGATTTTGCGTCGGAACCCTATAAACGGCGTATTTCTTTCCAAATAGTTGCCACCAAATAATATCAACCTGTATTGAATTTGAAGAAATTAAATGATGAAGAATCTGCGTAAATGTAAGTATGCTTCTGGCATTGTGATACAACAACAATACCTAGAGCCATCCAATTTTGAATGACGTAATCCTACTGCGAATATGGGCATCTGAAAGCACAAATTTGAACTTTGTAATTTGGAATTTGTTTTATTATCGATTTTATATTCTGAAAACGTTAACGAATTTTTGATTAACAAACTCAGCGATTTAAAAGCAAGCAATGGCAACATTATACGGGGGTAGAACCTTTTTATCTCCAGCCGGCGGAACTGTGTATCGGAAATTTAAGATATGCTCATTTTAAAATTATTTTGCGACACTGCTGTTGAACTGAATTTTATGGTTTAAATACAAAGAATATAATATTTCATAAATAAAGGTAACACACAAAAATGTTAAAAGAAAAAAAAAAAAAAAAAACGCCCCTTTAGACGCAATTTAAAATCTGAAACCTTTCAGGTTTTTTTTTTTTTTTGTTTTTGTTTTTTTTGTTTTGTTTACATTGACTAGGGAAAGCGAGATCAGTTCTGCGTCTTCCATTCTAATTGGTCGATCAACAAATTCATCTTGTACATTTTTCGCGTCTCGAAAGCGCGAGTTAGGATATATTTTAGATTTATATATAATCATGTTCTAACATACGTATTTAGACTCAAAATTAGACTTTTTTTTAAATGGCATGTTGATGTTTTTCCACATTTCCATTCTGTGCCTCAAATTATGTCAAGTGCCGACTTTTGTAAAAATCGCAACAGCAGGATTTTTAATTAAACACTTAAAATTTTAATACGTAATATTAATTGAACTTCACATATATTCAATAATATTGTTACGAAATGTACAGGCGCGGTTACATGGCTTCCCCGCAACGCAGCTCTAGGGTTGCCATAACATGGCAAAAGAAGGCAGGGTTGCCACATTTGGCGAGAAATCGCCTATTTGGCAACAAGATTGGCGATTTGCCGTGGACGGAGGGAGAACGTTCTGGAACGAATTCTTACCGGTTTAGACCAGAATGTTCTCGAACACAAGCCGAAAGCTATATAATCCCTGCTGGTCCGCAGTCAGTGAGTGTGTGCCTCATCCAGAGGGTGAGTCAAAGTGCATCGTCTAGAGTGCGAGATAGTATCGAGTTGGTGTCTCGTCTAGCGAGTCAATCCCTGCGGAGTCGATCGAGTTGGCAGCCGGCCAGCGAGTGCAGAGTGGGTCGTCGAGTGCATCGAAGAATCTCTTAGCGTATCGCGGTTAGTGCATCGTCGAGAGAGTGTGTTAAGCTCCGGGAACGACTGAACCGAAGACTCGGGAGCTGTACTCTATGTGTCGTCGAGTGCATCGCGAGTTGTAGCTTGGAGAGTATCAATTAAACAAGTGTTTACGTAAAACAAAGTATTTAATTTTTCTATGTTTTTCATACTAATACATTTCTATGTCGTTAGTATTTAACTATTAAAATCATCGCTTATTGATTTAAAATATAAAAAAAGTGGACACCACACGACTTCTTATTCAATAATTCAGTTCTCACTTAGGCAAAAAAAATAATACATAAAAACTCAAAGCATCTTCATTAAAAGCTGTGATCCTACTGGACAAAAACACAGTGAGTTTTCGTTATGTCTTAATTTATACTACTTGAAATTATTAAATCTAAAGTAATGTATTATTATTTGATCTAACATTACAGCAAATTATTATATAGTGTTCTGGATATATTTTCAGTTTGTATCTCGGGAGAACTTTGACCGTTGTACTCAATGACCATAAACTCATAAAAGAGGCTTTCAGCCAACAAGCACTTTTAGATCGCCCACCACATTTTTTTGACTTTCATCCTGGGGGTTTAGGTAAGTTATAACTCTAATATTTGTTTATCACCTTGACTAAGATCAACTTACACAAGTACAGTTAACAATGCGACAGTTATCTGTCCACTTCTAATAGATTACAACTAAAACAAGAATTGGCAAACTATAGGGTTGATTACATATTGACAATAAGTGGTAAAATTTAAGAGAAGTGTTTCGAATATATACAGAAATCAAAAGCAAATACTCTAAAAGAAGCTAGTTTTATTCTCTGTTTATCTCTACAAAAGGAAGGAAATAACCAATCCGGAGGGCGATGTAAATCCTTTGACCAATGCATTGAAAGTATTTTCTCACAAATAACTGGATAGTGCTAGCATCCGAACATGGAAGTAAGATGGAGAACATAGTACGTAAAGATCTACTTTTTTGTTCCATATTTCCAAAGAACAAGAGGGTTCTTCGTTTAGCAAGGCATGAGTTGTAGATGATCTTCGCTAACTCTTAAACGCTCTTGAATAAGCTTTAATTCGCATAAATTTCTGACATATAATGAAGACATATATAAGATATACATATAATGTAGTCAATGGAAACATAAGACATTGTTTAAACTCAGCTTAATTCTTGGTAAAGATCAAGCTAATTGTTCCAGGAAAGTCATTACCGAACTTCTACCGTCGAAAGAGATGGCGAGTTTCATTGATGCTCGCTTGGTGTCTAAGATGAACCCGAAGCCTTCCATCGGACTTTCTGGAGAGAGAGGAATTTGTAATCTTGAAGGGGGAGGACGCGAAATGCAACCCTGTCTTGCAACATGGTTCGTAATTAGTTCCGACCCCACTTATAAGATTGCATTTGGTATGATACTGAGCTTTAGTTCTACAATCTTAGTAGGCAAATAGAGAATTATCGCTATGTGTGAAACAGTCCGACAAAGATTTGCAAAGGTTTGAACAGCCGTTTTATTAAACTGAATTTTTTAACATAAAGCAATGACTTGTGTAACAGATAAATCCCTATCTGAGGTACATTTCGTAACAATATTATTGAATATATGTGAAGTTCAATTAATATTACGTATTAAAATTTTAAGTGTTTAATTAAAAATCCTGCTGTTGCGATTTTTACAAAAGTCGGCACTTGACATAATTTGAGGCACAGAATGGAAATCTATCCTTACCTATATATATTAAGCAATGTCAGAAACTTAAATTTAAGCGTTGATAAAACAATCTAAGACTATACAATCAAGTACTAAGCTACAAGCTGGGTCAAATAAATTACTATCCCGTAATTTTAAAGTATTGCCTTCGAGAGAATGCAAAGCCGAGATTTGCTTTTAGGTAGAGCTAAGAGAATCTAATAGCTCAGCATGAATGACAGAAAATCTTTCTCTGACTAAGATTCAAAAGACTTCAGTTTATATGCATTTACCCTTTCCGGCACGCTACCTTATAAAGTCGGAGTTTCAATAATAAAAAAGGTAGGCAGTCTAATTAGGCTTAGAGGAGTACACAAGTAAAATTTTGTGAAGATAGCATTTATCGTTTTAATTCTGTGGGTGTGCCCAAAGTGGCACACTGGTTGAATAGAGCTTCGAAAAGAGTGCTGAAACGAGCATTGTTGTCAATGAACTGACCGATGAGATGCGGAGAAACAAAAAATACAGACTCTTAGTTGTCCTAAATTATCGGTGAGCCCGGTCTGGGCACACCTAGGGTTCGCCGTTTGATTTTAGGCAAGATTTCAAGGTAAAAATATAAAACTAATATAGAATAAGGAGATTAGCATACAGCCAAAACATAACATAGAAATTTCTTTTCAAACAATTTCTTTTATACCCTAAACAAAATCTGGAAGATTTCTTTGAAAAATGAGGGTCTTAAAAAACTAAACATGGCTAAAATATATGGACTGGTTTGTGTTGAGCTGCCGTCTACTATAAATAAAGAAAGTTCAGAGTAACCTATAGTAATCTATAAATCCGTTTCATTCAATTTTTCTGTGCGTACAGAAGGAAATTTTTAAGTGTGTCCAGACTGGACATACTGTGCCGCAAAGGATTAAGCATTAATTTGCATCCTGGTGAGAAATACGGAAAGAAGTTAAAGTAAAAATCAAAATCATCATAATTGGTTAGTTCAACCCAAACGGGGTCATCTGTGAAACACTTTCTGATTGAATAAAGGGTCTTTTAACCCCTTTTTCTGACTCTATCTGTCTGCTCTCAAAACCCAAGGATAATTCCTCTACAGTCTTCCCAGAGCTCATCAGTTCATGTTGCCAAAGCCTCTTTATAAAGTAAAACAGAGAATCAAATGTCGGATGTGGCTAATACATAATTAAATAGAGAAGAGCTTTAAGTATAATTTTACTTACGGTTGATCGTTTATAAAAAATTCTAGCTTGTTGTTTCAATAAATAGAAAGGTCTGTAATTCGCAGATTTGGACTGCACATTGTTAAATATATTTGGCCATGTGTAAAAACTGCTTTTCCTAAAGTTATATCAACCTAATCAATTGATTACTCTTTATTTATTTTTTATTTGAAATTTTACCTTATTTGCCGTTGATATGAATATAATTTCGCTGGATTTTAATTAAAGAAAATTAAGTGTTCATAATAACTTTAAAATAAATGCTTTTAAAAACAATTAAAAATGCGTCCCGATATGTTCTAAGAATTGTAACACTTGTTCCCTCATATAAAACGTTCAGCTTGACCGTCTCTCTGAACGTGTTTATTAACTCCTAAAATCCTTTTAATATATAACTTCCTTGCCTGTGGTCAAATATCTTTGGCGCCAACACACGTCTCTCTGATACTGCACTTTCACCTGGTCTTTACGCAATCAGCACTTTGCCATTTTAAGTTCACAATTCAAATGATTTATACAGTGACATTCTATCTTACAGCTTGTGAGTGCTTGAATTAAAATATACAGGATAGAATTACCAGCCAACCTGGACCTGGTTTCATCAGAAAGCTTTCTTTACCGAAGAATATGAATTCAACATTTTAAATCTAATCTGTGCCAGAGACTACAAGATTTCCTAGCTTGCGACCGAATTTCGAATACACACACTTACCAAGCACATTCTAAAGTAATCCCAACCGAAAGAGCTTTAGCGTCTTCAGAGCAGCAGGAGCTGAACAAAACTTACCCTCCTATTCTGTGTTTTATAACAGAGATGCTTCTATTTGGAATGAGCGAACCTCGTAGCAAACAGAGACAGAAAATAAAGAAATAAATTAAATTAAAATTTCATCAGTAAAAATAACCATACACAAATTTATTAAACTAGAAACATTTTATGTTTAATTCCTACACATAATGTTACGACATGTCGATGTATTAATACTGAAGCTTGTCAGTATTTTCTAGAACACTAATTCTAAAAGATTCTTTTAATAAGATCTCTGTCATTTAAAAAAAATATATCGATCAGTACTTTGCAGTATACTCAGCATATAAATGTTGGTCACATAATCTATAAACGGCAGAAATCTGCTATATTATTTTTAATTACATACAATTGGAAACTTCGCTCTTCACTTTGTTTATAGCCCCTGAATACAATGGAGTACATTAAATTGAAATATTTGCATAAATGTTTCTGGTGTATAAACATTTTACGTTTTGTGTTTCATGTTTCATAATGTTAGTATAAAACTCAGCAAAAAAAATCGTAATATTTTTTAATTAAAAATTCCTAAACGATGAATATTTGAAATATTTAAAATATTTTTGTGATTAGAAGTACATGTCTAAGACCAACGACTGTGAAAATAAATGCCGAGTACAAACTTACACATCTGTAAGTTCGCACTGCGGACACCATGTTTACTAATTGTACGCAAGAATGTGTTGTATGCTTGTACCTATAACTGGAAAAGCCTTATTAGCTTTAGGAACACATATGGTCAGGTGTACGTGCTGCTCCCCACAAACAAACAACCGATGTTTACTACTTCATAGTTTCGTAACTAAAAAAAAACTGCTGTTTTTAACTATTATGGAGTGTAGTCATTATACATTACTGTGCACATGGGATGGATATATTATTTTGATAGGAATTTTACTTCCTTCGGATACATTAATACTTGATTCCGGATATTGAAAAAAGAGTTGCCTGTAAGATGGTCTCACGTAATTGGGCTGTTCTGCTGAAAGTGGTTTATAACGTTATAAGACAGACATATAGTCATGACATTATGATAGTCGTTGCGATTACTCATCCGAAGAGAAAAACTGACGTTAGTTGCAAAAGCAAGTTAAGATGATTCATTTATGTTGTAGAATAGTGTCTGTAGTACTTCACAGTTTTTTCACAGGTTTTGCAGGCGCAAACGGAGAAGAATGGGTAGAGCAAAGAAGATTCACTATGAAGGCTTTGAGGGAAGTTGGACTAGCAAGGAGCGAATGGGAAAATTCATTAATGGTAAATAAATTTCACAATACTTAAAAGCAAAATTTAGTTAAATAAAGCACTGTCTATAAATGGTTTAATTTATACACGCTTATATTTAAAACAATTTTTTTTAAATCTACGGCTATGCTGCATAAAGTATCGTATTCATTTGGATTCTTCAAAATCTAGTTGAAATATAGTGTTTTCATCCTCCATGAAGCATTAGCTTTAACAAAGTAACGGATATGTGAAAAGACTTTATTAAGCCTTAACAATATGATGCTATAATTTTCCAGAGATAAATAAATGCATAAAAGCAATATCAAAATTCTATTAAAATTCTATTAGAATTCTAGTAGTTAATACTTATTAATAGAATAGTACTTATACTTCTTATTACGTACACTGCAACTAGTGCGCTTTTTCGAATCCAAATCCAGTTCAAGCTCAGAGAAAATTTACTTTATTGAACACCAAGTTATCTCTGAATCTAATTACCGGCGTCGGTAACTCAGCTACCACTCATTCAATAGTATAATTATATTTCAATTCGTTACGTGCTTGTGAATGGTGCATCTGTCTCTATTCTATTGAATTTCTAATCGAAAGCAATTTGCGCAAGGTATTCAAAATTGCTTATTGTCTTCGGTGACTCAAGTGAAAATCGGGGCTCGGTAATTCAGTTTTTGTCCAGCGTTTTCCAATAAAGTGAAGTACTTTCTGAAGCACTGAGGCCTAATTCGCGAGTATTTTTACAGCCGGTACTCGTCTCATTCCAAATCAAAGAGGAAAGTGTGAAGAATGCATACGATAAAATTCATAGGCAAATTAGAAAGCTCTAAAGTTTTATTTTACAGAGAAATTATCTACAGTTATCTGATAGTTCGGTGCCTTTATTAGTAAGATATTCTTTCGCGCAGAGAAGAGATTTTCCAGCCTAAGTACGAAGAATGATCCAAACTTTTCAGGCCTAATACTATATTTCTCACGAAGTAATAAAAAAATTAAGGTTTTTGTTTTCTTTTAAGTAGCTTTTTTTTTTTACTTCGACACAATTCTCCCATTTTTTAACAGGCGATGATATTGTTATGTAGCACACCGACTTCAGGGAAAATACCTGTCTTTTGTGGATATCGCGAAAGAAAGGAGAATAACGTGTGAAGGCCATGGAAATTTAAACAAGCAGTTTGTGAATAAAGCGATTCTTTGCATTAAATGTCTGCTGTAGAGAGAGAGCGAGAATACTTTTGTTGCTTTAATAAGTAAAGCGAGCAGCAGAGGTTACGCAAAGGAAGGGATAACAAAAGGCTTCCTTATATGTGAATTGTCGGTCAACATACAAGGGAAAGTTGAAATATTATAAACAAATTCATTGCAGGATAGAGGTTTTCACCCTTTCACGACTGAGAGCCTCATCAATAAATTGTTAATGATCCTCAGACCACACGTCTTTCAAATAAAAAACGTAGTCAGGAAAAAAAGGAGAGAGAGATGTTTACAAGATTACAGTTAATTTTAAGGGAATATAGGTTTGAATTACCGATTTTTATAATACTTTATTTGTACTTTTTATTCAAACACTAAAATTCAGTGGATGTCAAATCAATATACTTTTTACTTTCTTAATTATGAAAGGGAGTGAAGGTGTTAAAATATAACTCACATTACTGGCGGAATGGAAGTCAGTTCAGTCTTAATGAGAATTTTTGCATTGTGTTTTTTTTTTTTTTTTTTTTTTTTTTTTTTTTTTTTTTTTTTTTTTTTTTTTTGTTAAAGCTTAGATATCTGTTAGAAACTGTTTTGTGGTTATTCGTATTGTATACTCCAAATAATGATCTGTCAGACGTGTTATTTTTTTTATTTGTGTTCTTCATTTTACTAAACGACTGCTCACATATGTAGATATTGTCAAAGATAGAAATATGAACAATACAAGTTTGCGTATTCCTGGATATTTGTCTTCGCATATTTTCTTCGAATAAAAATTTATTAATGTAAGATTTTCCAGAAACTTGCATTTTGCTGTAGAGTCACACACTACAATTCTATAAATTCTAATTCAAGTTCAGGTGGAACACTTTCGATGTCCTCAGAGGATAGCGAGGAAAACAATCTCATAAAAATGTCATTCCTACAGAAGTCGGAAAATCTGCTTTTGAATCCCACACTCAGATTTGAAATGCGTTGCACATAATAGATCGAGTTTCATGTTGTAGTTTTATTCACCAACTACATCAATTTTGGAAAGTGAATGAAACTTTTATTTAGCAAATGTAGCAGTGGCTTACATCATTAAGCTCACCTTATTCTTCAAGGAAACAAGGCGCTGAAGTACTTTTCCTCGGCTCAACCAACGTACTTAGGCGTAATAAACATTGTCAGTATGTTAAACTTCCACATCACCAAAGAGCAATTCAAATTGCCTATGATAAGTCCTTTGCACCAGATGAAATAAATCACTTTTACAGCAACACTCATCATACGTTCAAAATTCGAGATGGACTTCTTGAACATATTTTCTTGGTGGGTGACACACTGGAAAGCCAACATAATATTATTCCCGCAGCCCTTCGCATCTGATTTGAATCATGTTATCACTCTTGTTTTATGTCCGGTCATAGCAGAAGCACCCTTTTTGATTATAGCAGATATACTGCTCAAACCTAACTCACAATGAGCCATAGTTTTTGTCAGACTCGAATGCAAATCTGGTCCCCGTGTTATATCTTTAAGCGGAACAACACTAGCTAATTCCTCTACAACAGCGAAGTTCCTATGAATTGCACAAAAAAAAAATGGTTGTTTGTGCAGTATCTGTTGCATTCGTTGATTTATCCATTGATACAGAATAAAACACGAAAGTACTTGCAGTCATTGAATGTATCTGCTACTGAATCCTTCATGAGTCGCGCTACTGTCAGACCAGACAAAATAATGTTCGAAATAACTTCAGCCTGTGATGAACAAAGAACATCATCTGCACACTGACCTATTTGAATATTAAATTGTGCGCTTAGGAGTAAGGTAAAGAAAACTTGTGTTTATCAATTTCGTATATGATTAGCCATCACCCTATTTTTTCCTATACAGGAATATGGATTTCAGCTCTGTTTGCAACTGACTGAATAATATTTCTAAGGTTTGCACTGTAAGGCTGAACAACTTATTAAATTAATCGACATACTTTAGGTTTTGAATTTCTGATAGAAATTGCATAACTCATCTTGAATAGACTTTGTTTAACGGAAGCTTCTAAACGTAGAATGTGTGAAGTAATTTGTTAGAGAGATCCAAATGTACTGCTATCTGCAGTCGCTTATCAAGCAATATTTCTTAACTAGAGAAATATTTTTATGCGTTAATACCTCCAATGATGAGGAATATCCTCAATAGATTCACATGTTAAATTGTTTTGCTCAGTCTTTCGATACAGAACATGAAGCAGAGAAATTAATATAAAGATCATCGAAACATTGTTTTATTTCATTATAATTTAGACCGTATTTGATCAAACATTTTTTGTACGATATTTAATTTTAAGCACTGTAAAACTACTCGAAAATACTTTTTCTCAAATATATGCCACAAAAAGTTAAAATGATTACCTTCAAGAAATTTTAAAATTTACTCGAAATTGTTATAGGTACCTATACAAGAGAAATCCATGGCTGTAAATCTTTCAATCATAGTACTCATAGTACTAATTAAATACATGACATTAATGCGAGCTCATATTTTAACGCTACAGTCGAGCATAATTCATTTTTATTACAAAGGAAATTTCTTTCAAACATAAAAATTTTAGAAACTTTTGGCCATGGATGTAAAGCATGATTTTTATTGTCATTAATTTCGTCTCAGTTAGTTGTCATATTCCTTGTTCGAAAACTTAATTACCTTAGTTTGAAAATTAATATTTAGATTAATCATAACCCCTTTTCTAAAGAATAAATATTGGTCCAACTTAAAATTATTGATAGTTGGGTTTGACTTCCTTATTCCTTATTGCGATTCCTGTTATACAGTGTTATATTTTTTAAATTGAATTAAAATATTAGAAATATAACTTATTAATGATTTAAACTTTATTTTTATTAAATCAATTACTAAAAATTCAATTTTATAATTTAATCAAAAGTTTTTATTTTCAAAACAAGTTTGTTTTCATCATTCATGTCAAAAACTTTCGATTGAAAGATATCAATTAAAAACTATTCTTCGATTTCATGTTGAAACATATATATCAATCTCGAAATTAAAAATTGTATATGCAATATACAAATCAGAATCAGACTAGAATTCGTTTAGTGAATTCATTAATATTATAAAAAATTCAAGGAATTAATTGATAAAACCTGAAGAATTCCAATGAATTAACATAATACAAAATCTTTAGAAAAATTCAAGTAATTTAATTAATTGAAAAATTTCGGAAAAATCTAAATGAACTTAAAGAAAGTTGTTGGTTTCCTTTTTCTTAATGCTGCAGTTTCACAGTTCTGAAACAAAATTATATGCTAAGGATTGCAAAATTATTTTTTTATGTCTTTAATAAAGGACTAATTTTTAAATTGCTTTTAGGTAGTTTTATATGATAATCACTTCCTTCTTATGATTTACTGAAATTCCACTATGGTTACATATCTGCTATTTCAAAATTTGAGTTTTCTCTCCGCATCAATGTTAAATTTCGATAAAATGCTAAATCAATGTTAAATTTGAAGTATTTAATGCAATTTTAAATTATTTCACAAGTTATGGTACTAATTCACAAGATCTTTATTCAAACAATCCTTGCCGTTGTCGAAACATAGAGGTATAAATTTTTCTAAGGAAGATTTAAAAATAGTCTAAGTGTTAGTGTATTCTCTAAATCGTTTCCCTTTTATTTCAGGTTTTATACTGATTTGAGCACCCAGAAATGAAATTGAAATTTCTTCTACCATTATTGCAGAAAATAATACCAAAACATTTTCTATTTGTAGATAGACGTGGAGGAACTCAGAGACTGGCTCAAAACTCAAGAAGGAAAACCTGTAAGTATCTATAGATTCATTTCCGCAAGTGTCTCCAACTCTATAACGACTTTGGTCTTTGGGAAACGTCTTCCAGTTGGTGATCCATTGAGAATTCTAGTGGATAGCGCTGTGGAATCCGTTTCACGAATATATCGACAGTCTGGAATCGTCACTTTCTTTCCAACACTATTATATTTAATTGCTAAGCTTGGCTTCACTCTACATGGCAAAGAAAGGAAAATAATGGTCCGCTTTTACAATTTCATGAAGTAAGCTGTATTAAGTTATTTAATTTCTGACTTCCTAATGCCTCAATTTCAGTTTCCCTCTTTTACTTTGTTAAAAGAACATGATTCATATTACTCTAGTATTTCGAGTAGGATTGAAAATCGTGATGTTTAAAGAGTGTCGTCAGCAAATATACTTGTTTATTTTAATATCTTAATGACTTTTTTTAAGTACTTGGGAATAGGACTTAACAGTTAAAAAACTAGACTAGAAGAGAAACACGCTAATGTGACAATCAAAATCGCAAAAACAACCTTGTATTTAGCGGCCAGTATCAGAGTTACACTGGCCGCCTACTTTTACTGAGCCAGGCTATCTGATCAAAAAGGGCTCAGTAAAAGTGTAACTCTGATTAAAATTCCGGTTATAACCACGTGCAGTGCTGATTAGGACCACGTGTTTCTAAGACTCCTTCCCCTTTAGTTTTCTTCTTTCTATGTATTTCTTTCTCCTGATCACGAGGGACCTTTAGCTGCCCTCGAAATCGATTGAGTGTTAAATAATTGAGTGTTAAATAATCGAAATCGATTGAGTGTTAATAATCAATATACTTACGCTAAATGCAAGGTTGTTTTTACGATTTTGATAGTTAAAAAACTATTTGCACAGTTTAGAAATGCTTTTGAAATAAACAAAGTTGTCCAGAAATATTGTTCATGTTATCAGTGGAAGATATTATGCCATTACATTAAAGAAATGTTCTGCGTAGATTATGTTGATAACAATATTTCAACTAAAAAGCTCTTCAAAGTCTCGCTTCAAATGATTATTAGTTCTAGTTAACATGCCGCCGCAACATACGAATTTTCGCAATCAAAAAGTTAAAGCTTAGTTCTGAGCAAGAGTGAAACAGATTAGTAAGAAAAAATAGGAAGTGCTCATTAATAACTTCCTATCTGTACATTTAAAATAATCATAATAAACTAATCATCACCGCTCGACCAACGGCCGAGCGTAGAAGTTGATGAATACTGGTAGTTCAGTCTGGAATTCGAATCTCTGTGAAATGGCTGGCTGCATGGGCACTTTCATGGGTTTCCTCATATGTAATGTTTATACGAGCCAGTTTTCCTTAGAAAATCCTCCACGAATACATCATTTCTCTTAGGCAGATAGCTCTCGAATGCTTTGTCGTATTCCACTGGTCTTCAAACTTAGTCGACTCATGGAAAATTTAGACTTACACGGTTTTTCGCGGAAACTCATCTTACCCTTATAAAAGCATATTTTAAAATAGTATTTAAAGCAGATTAGTATTTTTAATTAGCTTATGTAAAGACAGTTAAAGAAAAGTGTTGTACTTTCATTAAAAAACTTATAACATAAAATTAAATAAATTACCTCGTTAATAGCCTTAATTCGATCTCTAGGTTGCAACTACCCTTGCACAATACAGTGCAAGGGTAGCAGGGGTGCGGTCGTATTTCTGTAACACAGACTCTCGAAGTCTAGTTCTATTAATGTTGTCTGTAGTCGCATTATTCTGCATTTAATTCGTTTCTATATTTTGCTTTTGTCGCCACATACTTTAAGAAAGATTTTTCATTGGAACATGCTATTTCGAATGGTATTAAAATAATCATAGCTGTGTGAGAAAAATCTAGATGTTCTGCATAAATCTACAGCATAAACGTTTGGCGGGCTATTTTAGCTTTAAATTTACATTTTAGCGTCGAGTCTGTTGCTATGTTGAAAAATTGTTTCTTTTCCTTCATTGCCAAGGGCCCACCAGCGGCCGAGCGGTAAATGTCGCTGAACACTGGTACTTCGGTCCGAGGTTCGAATCCCGCGAACGGGCTGGCTGCATGGGCGTTTTCGTGGTTTTCCCCATGTGTAACGTGTATACGAACCAGTTTCCCTTAGAAAGTCCTCCATGAAGGCATCCCTCCCCTTAGGCAGATAGCCCTCGAGGCTTTGCCATAATCACACAAACACAAACCTTAATTGCCAAGCTTCTGATTTAGAGTAGTACTCGAATCGATTTTTTTACTCCTTTATACTTAGGTTTTCTTCTGGGAAATATTCTCTTATAATCTCATTCAATTGAAAATGGTGTTGCATTTTAAAGTTCTTCATGTTGTCGTCTGCATTCAGTTCATTTTCCATTAGAAAACGCTTCAGTTTTGCAAAGCATTGTGCATTATTCTCTTTGATATATGATGACCACAAATTAAGTTTTAAAACTAATCTATAAATAAATGTATCTTTATAATTTTAATTAATAAACACTATTCAAATCGTGCGAGAATAATTTTTTGTTGAATATTTATTTTGACTCGCGGAACCCAATTTGAATACTTCTGCCGTAATCAAACAAACCAAAACCATAAATAAAATGTCTTATAATTTGTAAAACTATGAAACAATACAAATTGTAATGATTATTAGCCTGCTACCCAGACAGTAAAGTGTTTAGTGACTCTGATTACTCTACCGAAGCGCCTGTGTTCGAATTCTGAAGAAGGCCTGGTTGTAAATTGTCTGTCCCTTCTTAGTAAGCAATGGAGGCCCACTTGTAAGTGTGCTAAAGACAGAGAGATTGGAGCTGCAGTGATGTGAAGTATCGTTAAAAAATCGTGAGGCGTTTGCCCGGCTGCGGAGCTTGCCCTGCGGCGGCCTGTCTGCGTAAGCGGTGCTGGTATGTGTTATCTTGGTTACCAAAAGCCTTTTGCTGCTAGAATATAAAAATTGTAGTCCGAATTTTAAAGAGAACTTTTCGGAAGACTTTGAGACAGATTTGAGTTTTGAAGATGTAAAGTAGTAAAAAGAGATCGTGGGGCGTTTGCCCTGCTGCGGACGCCGGCTATGTTTTTATGCTTTGTCCGGTTAGAGGCAGAAAATTTGTGCGATATCTTGTGCATTCAAAATGGACATACCTGAAGTGGTTATTCCAGAAGTTTAGATGCTCGCTGTCGCTCCTCGTAGTTGAAGTTTATCAGCGTTCCGGCCGCTATACTACTAGCATTCCGGTTGTGCAGTCTTTGTCGACGCTTCTACCACCATTACTTGAGAATTCCTGATTTCAGGGGCTAGTTCACTAGAGTTTTCAACAACAGATTATCATTCATTTGAGAAAAATTGTCTCCGCACCTAATGGACATATTTAAAACGGTTCCTGACTTATTTAAGAAGTATTTGTTTTTAGTGCCCCGCATAATGGACGCTTCTGAAAGTGTTATTGCCAGAAAAAATGGTCTTTGCTCCTTTCCAATAAAATTGGATTGAACACTAAAAATCTTTCAAATTCGGAAAAGTTGTCTTCCTTTGTGGGTAGAAATTTGGGACACTCGTTAAGATTGTATGTTCCGGATAAATCTGTGACAGATTATTTAATTTTTGTCTTCCTCTCCATCTTCTCTAATTCCATAAAAGTAATAATCATTTATATTATATATGTAAACTGAGAGGTGATTAGAGAAGTTTGGGTAAATTGCTTGTTATTTTATTTTAAGTTCTGTAAAGTGCTGGCGTCAGGACTTTTCGCTTACATCCACTATGTGTATCTTTTTGATTTTGCGTTATTATTTAACAGGACAGAGATTCACAACCAATATCATCGAAATACTTTATTCTAGTGCTCTTTTAAAACGTGCATGAGTAATAATTATCGTCTGTCGCCGTGGTTACGTTCCTTATGTCTTGTTTACTAAGCAATTGCCCTCAATTGTCGCTTTCTTTCTTTAAGCAAACATTGTTGGCAATACCACAAGAATCCACATATTGTGCACATTATGTGGATTCTTGTGGTAAAGTAAAAAGAAGGAGTAAAACGTTCTATAACAAAAGTTCTAAAAAAAGTTCTTAATGAAGTTTTTCCAGTAAAGTTCTTTGTAGGTTTACCTGTTACTTTCGATGGTCATCGAACAACCACTATTTCCACCTGGTTCAAATGTCATAGTTCGGCACTTTTCTTGTCGTAGTACTCTTTCATCTTATGCTGTTTCCCTTCGATGACAGTGCGCGTTTTTTCTTGAACTTCTTTTGGATCAGACCATACATCTGCACTTTCATCACCAACGTTTCGTAGGATTTCATCGTTAAATCTTGGGAAATAACTATGTAGGGTTTCCAAAGATGTTTTATCCATAGTTTTGTTGACAGTATTATTCAAATTTCGTTCAATTTCTTTTATTCGTGAATCCCAATCTTTGTGGCGTGAATCACTCATGTAGGTGGATATTGTGGCTAAAATTGTTCTATTAACTCTTTCTACCATCTCGTTAGCGTAATGGCAAACCGAACATTGAGTTAAACAATGTTACCGAATTTTGCTTACTGCGCATGTACATGAATTTTTGTATACCGCTGGCGTGGGAGGGAATCCTGGCGACTAAGCATATGCAACCCTACACAAGGCTGTTTGTTAGCCATGTTGGGGGAGGGTACCTTTTTTTTACAATTGCATTACTATAGAAATTTGTTGTGAGCTTATTGATGTGCTTCTGTTTCATTTAATTTTCACTTATTTTGTTCATAAATATTACAATTAATATCAGCTATTTGACTTTAATTCAGCAATTTGAATTGAATTTATTCCTTAATTTGATAAAGTATATACGAATGGAGCGTATGATAAATACTCAGTTGCTTTTATTCCTCAGAAGTATAATCAATAAGCATTCAGCTAATATATCTTGTAATGTTTTCTGTTTTGTTATCTTTCTTAAACGAAAATCTGCTTAGTTTACAATCGATAGTCACACTCTAAATAATGAAGCAACTTACAGCCTAACAAGTTTTTAAGACTCTGAACGGTTTACGCCCAGATAACATAATATCAACCATATACCGTATTTATCTTCTTTTAAAATAGTTTTCGTTGCGCCAAATTCTATTCTAAGCATGCGCAGTAAGCGAAATTCATTTAACATTGATCAACTCAATGTGCGGTTTGCCATTACGCATCCCGTTAGCCACTGGCTGTTGCGTAGAGTTTAACGTGTGATTTATTCCGTTTTCACGACAGTACTGCTAAATTAAT